CTCCTGAAACCTCTGATGACTCCCGGCATCCTTCACGTTCCACCTTCACTTGGCGGGTCTCACTCTGGACTGGCGCTCTGCATTCCTGCTGGTCCCTTCGGCTTTTCTCTGTTCAGCTTTTCTAGGCAGATGTCCGCTCCCTGCAGTGTTCACCTCCAGACTATGAGCCTCTCCCTTCTTTATCCAAGGTCTCACGCACGCACGTAAAGCTCTTCTTTATAAGAATCTCTACTGAGAGCTTCATCTGAGGAAGGGGTGAGTGGAGAGGGAAAAAGTGAAACAAACAAACAAACAAACAAACAAACTAGAATTTAAAACCAGAGATAACTATTCCTTAATGTGCATTGCTGTTCACAGATGGATGCCATCTATCTCAGCTCTGCGGATGTTTCTTGTGTGAGTCACACTCAGACTTTCTTTCAGAGTCCCAGGACTATAACCCCTCAAACCTGCTCTAGCTCTCAAGCAATCCCTCCTCACAAAAAAGGGAAGCCAAACATTGTTTTACCATCCAGAAACACCACTCTGTCCACCAGGAAGGCAGCCCTTTACAGCGGTCTACAGAGCAACTCTGTGCCTCTGTCTTAACACTTCCCTTCGTGGCCATGGGCTTCACCTTTCCAAAACCCAAAAGGCTTGTCTAAGTATTTTCCCAAACTAAAAGAACTGAATTCCCCCAAACATGAATTCCACTGCTACCTTTGTATCACAGAAATGCCTTCAGTCTGTTGTGTTCTGCACAAGTAAGGGGAGGCCAGAAAGGATGTGAGGGCATATTATGTGGCATCCCCCTCTTATGGGGGCCAATACCAGAAGGATGGATAAGTCTTCTGGAGGAAAAGTAGCTGGATAGTGGGAGGCAGGCATATGGGGAACAGCATTTCATATATAGGGAACAGCACATGCAGAATCCCCAAGGTTCCAGGAGGCACAACATTCAAAGAATAGCAAGGCAGGTACTGATGAGGCATGGAGAAGGAAAGAGAGAGATGAATTAAGTCTGAGAGGTGGACAAGAGCCTTGTATGTCATAAAATTGATTTTGACCTTTATACTAAAGATCATAGGAAAATAACAAGCAAATGACAAGCAATTTTATGAAGCACATGTGTGGGCATATTTGTGAATGTATGTGTATAATGACAAGGTTTTCTTTATCAGCATCTGTGTGGAGAATGGCTTAGCTAATGATATCAGGTGGCATATGCTAGATGCTAAATGAACAGGAACAGTAGTATGTACTGATATTTTCCCACACAAATGTAGATCTATTAGACATCAAAAATTTCTTCCCAAAGCCCCAGGAAGAAGGAATACTGCAGCCCAGTCACAAATGATGCTCCCAAAGTCAGAGGCAAAACGTAATACTGGGATAATTTATTTAACAGGTCTGTGTGATTATACACATTGCTGTAAAAGTACCTGGTAGGATAATCTTATGGAGGAAAGATTCCTCCTGAGTTGACATCAAAGGCAGACATAGGGTAAAACCAATGAAACTGAAGCTTCAAAGCACATCCTTCACATAGGCCTTTTGGAGCCTGGGCTCATATTCATTTTATTAAAGAAAAGTGTATACTCTTCAGGTTCCTCAAAATCTGGATCTACTTCTATCTGATATAGTACCCAGGCATTCAAGGAGAAAGTGGGATCTGAACTAGCTTTTGAAGGAAAATTAAGTTTTGTATATGCCAAAAGGAATGAGAGCTCATTTGAGGTGAAGAGGACTGTAGGGATAGTATATGGGGTGAATTGGGAGGCAGTGAGTTGATTGATCGATGAAATCTGATTCCCCAACTCATTATCTAGGGTGTCCACAGGCCCATGGTCTAGTTATTTAGGTTCTTTGGGATATAAGAAATGGAGCACCTCTCAGTTACTTCAAGCAAGGGGAGGTTTATTGTAATAAAATTATATTGAATATTATGGGCAGGAATATGTAGTCTTGGGTTGGAGGATAGATCAGGATCCAGAGACTCAACATGTGGAATAAACAGATTTTCACACTAGTCTTTCACGAACGTTGGACCTAGCTATTTTCTACCGGCTTGACTGTGTTTCCATTACCAACTGCCAAGTCTCTCTCTGCTGTCAATATATGTTCTTAACTCCATAATTTTTGCTTGCTTACAATATCTGCTTCCTCATGGCTCTGGTCCTGCTCTGGTCCTCATTTTCTTAACATTCCAAAATTCAGATTCCCTGAGAGGAAATTTCTGCCATGTCAGTTCACTGTTCCTTGACTAGCAAGGTCATAGATCAATGGCTAGCCTATGGCTTGGGTTGGTATAACTTTTCCAGTTGGGTATGCCTGGGATGTATAGAATCCTTATACAAAATATGGCAGCCTATGGCTGCCCCATCAGCAGGGTTTGTGCAGAGGAATTTCCCTTACGAGCGTCTGTAGGTGTGACTGGCATAATGAATGGCATGTTCAGTATAGCTGAAATAATACTAGCTAATACTTCCTGAAAGCTTTCTCTCTGTCCCTGTGTCAGGTTCTGTTCTAAGCACTTCCTGTACATTCACATTGTTCCCATTTAGCTGAGGAGGAAATTGATGCCCAGCAAGTTCAAGTTACTTGCTCAGGATCACACAGCTAATAACTAGTGGAACCTGGATTCTAGCCATGTAGTAGTTTTAAGCTCCATTGTATTCTACACCATATGTGAGATTTTATCTGAGATGTTAGGAGGGCTGGTTTGTAGCAGAGACTAGAGACAGAGAAATCACTTAGGGGACTAAAGTGGGTTGCAGTGATGCAGTGGGTGGACAATAAAGGAGGAAATAAAAAAATGCAGAATGGATTGGAAAGAGAGGATTTCTCAGACATGCACAGGAAAACAAGGGCCACCTGGATTTGATGATAAGTTGGAACAGGGGTTTTGAAATAAATATTCAAATGAAACACATTACACATGCCCTCCTAACGAAAAAACAAATTGGAGAATACATTTTAAATTCCTTAGAAGTGGAAAAAATGATGAATTGACTGTTTGAAAGTAGAGTATCTAAAGACTTTATCAAGTGCTATGGAAGAAACTGTTAGGTTCTTTCTTACAGAGAAGTATCATACCGTGAAAATGTCCCTGCCTCTAGATACCCCCACAAAAGGCTGGTTAGACTAGGTTATTGAGAAACTCTGGTTTTTCTAATTTAGTCAGAATTTTGAAGGGAAAACGTCCCCCTTCTTATTTGTAGCATGGAATAAAGAAAATTTCCAGGTGAGCTATACCTTCAATGTTGATATTCAAGCTTCTCAGAGTGCCCCCAGGAGACAAATGTGAGGGCCAGGAGCTGTAATAGACGTGGCAGAGGTGTGAACAATATTCCACGAGAGCCAGAAGCTAAATCACCTATTGCGGTCTGTGGGGTCTGGGACACTGCTCTCAGAAGCCAATTTTTAACCTATACTCCTTCTTCCTGCATTAGGTCCCAGCTACCAGTCATCAGTTTGTAATTCCAAAACTTGTGTCCAAGTCTTAGACTTCTTTGAGTGGGTAACAATCCTGCTTCCCCCGTTGCTATGCAGCTCTACCCAATCTTAGTTCTTCTTTTTCATACCCTATACCTCTTGATGAAAACTCACACCCCTCCTAAATCACTTTTATTTCCCTTCTCTTGAATTCTTGGGGTGTTTATCATTTGTCTTATTGTGAGGAAAACAGTGTTAACTGTATTTAAAGTATATTCTCTTTAGAATATATTTTAATGTTTTAAAAAGGAGAAAAGATAGAATGCCTTCAAAAGACCAGGTTTAAATCAAAGTATTAGAGGCCACCTAACCTAGTTATTTTGTAATTTCTGTTGGTCAGGGAGGCTGTAAAAACCCCAAAGATGAAGTTCCACTGAGAAGAATATATACAAATACAAATCTCCATGGTTCTCATGGAGAACCATGAGAACAATCATTAGAGGGGAGGGCCTGGGTCTATCTCTTTTGTTCCTCTGAGAAAAGAGCAGAAAAGGACGGACAGTTTTGAAGAGTAAGAAGGGAGAACTGTTTCTTCTTGTTGGGTTGGTAGTGTGAAATAGCAGGACGCAGCGTAGACATGGTGAAGATCAGCATGCGCATAATGACTGTAGATGATGCACCAGCTGTATGCATTTCCTTAGAACTTTGCTGAAGGTTACATATTTATCTTTATTTCTTATACAAAATAATTCATTAATTGATTTTTTAAAATCAGAAAGCAATATTTTTATAGTCAGGTAATGAATTAAGAGCCAAAGGTCTCGGGCGCCTGGGTGGCTCAGTTGGTTAAGCGACTGCCTTCGGCTCAGGTCATGATCCTGGAGTCCCGGGATCGAGTCCCGGGATCGAGTCCCGCATCGGGCTCCCTGCTCAGCAGGGAGTCTGCTTCTCCCTCTGACCCTCCCCCCTCTCATGTGCTCTCTCTCAATAAATAAATAAAATCTTAAAAAAAAAAAAAAGAGCCAAAGGTCTAGTTTCTAGTCCTGGTTCTAGATCTACACTTGAGCAAATCACTTTACTGAGCTTTAATTTTTTTCACTTATGAAATGGAAATAATATCAATCTGCTTAGAGACACTTTATGTAAATCATTCATTTAAACATCAAATAGTAATTAAGCTGTATTGTGGAAGCCTCTGGTCTAGTCACTGTGGGTGCATCAGTTGAACAGAAGCAGATAAAAATCTCAGTCCTTGTGGGGCTCATTGATTAGTATAATGGGCCAGGCTTTCTCCCTCCCTCCCTCCATTCCTTCCTTCCTTCCTTCCTTCCTTTCTTAAATAGTTATTTGCTGAATAGCTATTATATACTATAGGGGTATTTATAAGTGGATCAAATCTGCAAATTAATTGTTGGGCTTCGTGATGGAACAGAAATAAGGAAGGTGAAATTTAGATGGGACTTTGCTACAAACAAGCTCTGCGACTATAAGACATAATGTTAACTCATATCCTTAGCTGTAAATGAGGGAGTTAGATTGCATGATCTCTTTAGCTTTAAAATGTGCAGTTTTGTTTATTCCTACAGGGATCACAATGGTGACTAAGAACTCTCTCGGTCTCAGGATATGGGTTGCAAATTCCAACAAGTAAGATGATGGCAAAAGGCACTATGTTATACTCTGGAGTGTGATTATATGCCATTTTCTTGTTATTTCAATTGTTTTCCTACTATGTTATACCAAGGTAGGAGTCAAAAAGTGCATAATACATATTATTGTCTGAATCTGGGGAAACTCATTTGATATCAGAAGCCTAGATTTGCATTTCAACAATCTAAAATTATCTCTATTTTCCCCTCTCAAGTAGGTCAAGTTCTGTTCCTATTGACTTATGTGTTTTACTTACTACTTTGACCAATGACTCCCTTTTTACATATCATAAAAATAGAAAATTTGGAAAAAATTAAATTTAGTTCAGCCCCCATCAGAATAATTTATTCATTCTAGATTAATGAAGTTTTATTATATTTGTATAACAAGAGAGGGACAATCTTATAAATATTAGATCTTTCTTGTAAATATTAGATCTTTTTAATATTGTCACCAGAGATGACAATAAATACCCAAAGTTTCCAAGACACTAGTTTTACTTCCCTGGGGGTGGGAGACAGTGAGGCCACATGGATTGTAGTTAGCATGTACTCTGGAACCTGACTCCCTGCATTGGAATCCAAACTCTGCCACATGCTGCTGGGTGACCCTGAACAAGTTGCTTAACCTCTCTGTGTCAGAGAGGTTAAGCAACTTGTCAAGAAAAGATGATAACAGTGCCAACTTCAAAAAATACAATTCATTAATATTTATAAAATGTTTAGAACAGTGCCTGAAAAAATGGAAAGTACTTTATAATTTGGGGCTATTATTTAGGAGAGAGTTGAAGGTAGAGGAAGTAGGAGTAGCAGGTGTAGCACATAAAGAAGCTGGGGGTAAAAAGGGAGGTGAGAAACTTTCATTTCTTAGGCTAAGGGAAGTCTGAATATTTGAAGGTGGCTGGAAAAAAGTGAACAGAAAGATGGAAGAAAGGAGGGATGGCTGTGGGGGCAGGGTGCTCTGTAACAAGGACACAGGTAATTAGAGCTGATCGGAGGTAAGTACTTATCGAATAGTTATCTGGGTTCCTCAGAAAGCCAGCCAGCCAGGCTTTACAGCATGTTATGGATCTGGCATTGAAATCCTGAAGAAAACAGTGCAGACTCCCATGCTGGTCAGGATCAGGCAGTGGAAGGGAGAAGTTAGTCAGCTACTGTGAGGTGAGTGTCTCATCCGAGGACACTAATGACATGCTAAAGAGGTACTGTAGCTCTGGAGTACAGCTGGGTTATTCTGGAAGGAGCCTCACAGACAGACCAACGCAGTGTTCAACAGAGGCAGGGCGGCTCGGGGAACACAGGCGTCAGGCATCTGCGGCCAAACCACAGACGGCCCAGGGGCCACCAGCAAGCCATGGCAGGAGACAAAACAACTAGCTGTGTTCAGGTGTCTGTGGGATGGCTACTTCCACATCAAGAGTTTTTATCACAGTTTCCATAGGAACATAATGTAGCCCAAGAGGCAAATTCAAATTGAAGATCACACACACACATACACACACACAAACACACGGAGTCTTTTCTAATATGGCTTAGAAAATAAATTTGCTCTAACTGAAATCTTTGGACTCTCCTATCCAGAGAGAGACCAGCATCGTTGGCACATTGGGTATCATACATATTTGGTAATTTGGGAAGAACACACAGAGCTATGAGCTTAGCTGAAGCAGGAGGAAGAGGACTTATTTTGAGCAGGAAAATCTTGGGCAGCATAAAGGACACCATCTTCATGGTGACAAGGGGTAAAATATTTAAGAGTGGCACATCAGGGCCTGTACATCCTACACAATCAGGAAGACCCATACTTAAGTGTGGATGAAAACCAGTGTATTAAAGGGGTAAAGCATTAAAAAAGTTTGGCATTGCCTGAGCTTTAGTGGGTTCTACATAGGGTTTTGACCCTTTCTCTCTGCCACCCGAGGGAATTCTTTTTTAAAATATCACTTCTCGGGCGCCTGGGTGGCTCAGTTGGTTGGGCGACTGCCTTCGGCTCGGGTCATGATCCTGGAGTCCCGGGATCGAGTCCCGCATCGGGCTCCCTGCTTGGCGGGGAGTCTGCTTCTCCCTCTGACCCTCCCCTCTCTCATGTGCTCTCTCTCATTCTCTCTCTCTCAAATAAATAAATAAAATCTTAAAAAAAAAAAAGAGAGAGTATCTTACTGACTGTTAAGCTTACTCTTGAAAAAAAAATATCACTTCTCAGTATAGATTAAAAAGTTTTGTCCCTAGCTAAGGAGATCCTAGGCATCAGGAGCAGGAGTGGAGAAGATTATTTTCAACAGGACAACCTTTCCAGAGTTCTCCAATCTAGGCACGCAGCAACCTCCTCCATTACCCCCAGCTAAACTTAACTTGCTAAATATGTGGCTGGTAGTGTATCCCACAAAACTGGAGTCCTACCCAGAACCTCTGAGATACCATATAGCAGTTCTATGTACCCATTCCCAGCTTCTACTTGTTTTGCTGCGAACTGCTCACACTGTGACCTTCAGAGGCTCACACAAGGGCAGAGCCAGAAGGGCCTAAGAGTTCTGTTCCCCCCAAAGCAACCATGACTGATGGATGTGGGAGTCGAAAAGCCTACACCCCTGGTTAATAAGTGAAGCAAACTTTGACATGTAATTTATACTCCGGAGTTTCCCAAAGGTTCAGACTGAGGCTGGAATCACTTAGAATTTCACTCCTGCGTGGCTTCTCCCTCCGTGTCCTACTTTCCCACTTCCTTACTCATCTTCTTTTTTTCTTGGAGCACATTCTTAATAAGCCACTTGCATACAATTCCTTGTCTTAGTTTCTGCTTCTGGGAGTACTCAGCCTAGGACAGTCCTCACTTATTCATTCATTCATTCATTCATTCATTCATCCATTCAGTCAGTCATTCAAAAATGTGCACTAAGTGCCCAAGTGCCTTCTTCCCAGTCTTGGGAAGAAGAGCAATATATATAGTTAGTTAAAATGTAACAATGGATACTCTTAAGGGAAATGTGGGGGATATAGAAATTACCCATTTCTAAGCCAAGGGAAACTTTTAATATATGAACATATTATCACGCCTGAAAAAGTGACATACATATAGTAGGTTCTTGTGGGTGCTGAAAAATTTGATCAGTCCTTGTCTCATACTGTTGACCATTGAGGAGAGCCAGTCAGTTACTTAGAAATTGATTTAGTCACAAATATTTATTTGGCGAATTAGAGTTTGAGAAACTGACAGACTAAGTATAATTTGACTAATGTGTACAATGCTATAGGAATACAATAAAAGAAATAATACTTCTCCAAGAAAATGAAAGGCTGGGGCTTGGAGGGTAAGTAGAATGAATTTTGGACAGAAGTAGAGAGAGGCATTTTAGAAAGGTAAGAGCAAACTCCACAGTAATCAGGTGTGAAAAAACATGGGCAAGTCTCAGAGTGCATGGTTTAGGGACTAAAGCAAGGCTCCCATAAAGGGGAGAGGCAGGAGATCAGAGATTAACCTGGAGATACAGGTTGGAACCACTCAGCAGTGGGTCTTCGGTACTCCAGAACTTTATCTTGTAGCATTGGGGAACATTCAAAGATATTTAGGATTGCCAAGGTTTGCCTTAGAAATAATATGAGGGGCGTTTGGTGGTTAAGTGTGGGACTCTTGATTTTGGTTCAGGTCATGATCTCAGGGTTGTGGGATAGAGCCTTGTGTCGGGCTCCCACACAGCATGGAGTCTGCTTGAGATTCTCTCTCTCCCTCTGCCTCTGTCCCTTCCCCTGCTTGAGCACTCTCTCTCTCTCAATTAAAAAAAAAAAAAAAAGAATATGAAGGATGTGTTCAAGAGGAGAAAGACTTGGGTCAGAACATTAACTAGTTAAAAATTGTTCCTAGGTTAAATCATAAATAATTTCCAATATTCAACCATTTTTGATCCGAAAAAAATGTCAATTTCATATAGTTCAAACTGATTTGCTAGCCAAGAACAACGGGGGTGAGAATCTGAACAATGGCACAAAGACTGGAGGGAAGGGGTAAAATAAAAGAGACACATAGGAGAGAAAATTGGCATGAAATGAATGATCCACTGGCTGTGGGGCCAGAGTTAGCTGCAGAATATTAGGTGTGACGGTAAAACAGAGTTTTCTGAGAATGATGGAGTGAATCACGGGGTGTTTGCCAGGGAAATAAGGCCCACCGGACGAGTGGCTTAGAGAGTGCAATAGGGAACTGTACCATGCTTCCCATTCCCGGCTCTATCCCATGTTACCTTGCAGCGCTTCATTTCTTCAGTTCCTTCTTCTTAAAGATTTTATTTTTAAGTAATCTCAACACCCAACATGAGGCTCAAATTTACAGCCCTGAGATCAGGAGTCACATGCTCCACCGACTGAGCCAGCCAGGCGCCCCTTCAGTTCCTTCTCTTTCTGCTAACTTGACATTGGACAGACATATGATATCCAGATTCCTACAGTTGTATCTGCTTTTCAAGTTAAGCCAACAAATAATGCAACCCCAAGTATTAAGTTAAAGCAGGCCTCCAAACAATAATCTAAGTAGCATAATAGCAGGAAGAGAAAAACCTAGTGGTCCTCTAGGGCAGCTACCCAATCTAACTAGATTGTTCTTTAACAGGGGCACACAGGGGATTCCGAAAGTCTCAGAGAATAAATAGAAAATCCTGTTTTTTTTTTTTTTTTCCTACTCTGACCTTAATTCTGACCACTCTTCCAGAGCCACAATATTTTTTTTAAATTTAAATTCAATTAGCTAACATATAGTTCATCATTAGTGTCAGATGTAGTGCTCAATATTTCTATTAAAAGTGTCACTGAACCTCTTCTGTTTGTGCTGAAATAGAAATTGGCCAAAATGTAATTTGTGTTACAAAGAAGACATGTCATTTCATTGTCCTTCAAATAACACTGCTTTCCTAAAACCGAAATTATCTATTTGCTTAACACAGTCAGGAATTGGAGAACTACATGTCTGTCTGGATAGCTTATATCATTTATGCTACTTGAAATGGGCATGCGCATGCTGTTTAAAATGATCTAACTAAACTTTTGAAGGAAAAAAAACTCTAGGAATCCAATAAAAAAGACTGACGAAGGAAACATTGAATTTGATTTCTTTCTGTTTTTTCTTGTAACACTTCTTTGTGAGAATTTAATTTCATTCTGCTACTTCTTGTAAGAGCATTAGTGAGAAATGTATACCAAGGAAATTTTTTTCTTAGTATTTTTTATTGAATCCAATGAATTTAAGCTATTATTTGGAGAATATTGTTCAGGGATGGGCCTCAGCCAACAGAACAGCATTGTTCATTCATGCCACAAATACTGACTGTCCATGACCTATGTGCCAGGCACTGTGGTAGCTGCCAGAGACACAATGGTGGGCAAAACTAGGCATGGTCCCTGTGCTCATGAAACTTGTAGTCTAGAGATAGCAACAAATGCTAAACAAATAATCACAAAAATAACTTTGTTTCCAAACTACAATGAGCTCCTGAAAAGAAAATAGTGGGTATCACATAGTGGGGGGCCAGTCCTAGTCAACAGGATATTCTCTGAAGAAGTGATATTCCAAGTTGAGATCTGAAGGACAGGTAGGAGTCAGCCAGCTGGTGAGGGAATTGGAGGAATACCGTAGGCAGCGGAAGCTTCAAGTACAAAGGCCCTGCGGTAGGAAGAAGGATGACACTGTTCATGATATTCATAGATGGCTAGTGCAGTCTGAGCAAACAAAGTTGGAGTTGCAGCAGAGGCTAGATCAGATAGGACCTTTGAGGTCCTGTTAAGAATTTGGTCTTTAGGGCGCCTGGGTGGCTCAGATGGTTAAGCGTCTGCCTTCGGCTCAGGTCATGATCTCAGGGTCCTGGGATCGAGTCCCGCATCGGGCTCCCTGCTCCTTGGGAGCCTGCTTCTCGCTCTGCCTCTCTCTCTCTCTCTCATGAATAAATAAATAAAATCTTTAAAAAAAAAAAAAAAAAAGAATTTGGTCTTTATCCTAAGAGCAACAGAAAGTCACTGAAAGCTAGAAGGTGGTAGAATTGGATTTACCTACACCAATCATTTGGAGCCAGTGAGTTTTTATTCAGTATTTAACAAGTGCTGTGATAACTGCTCTAGGGATTTAGAAGTCATACTAGGCATGGTCTCTACCCTTGTGTAATATCTGGTGTGAGATTGTAAGAGGAAATAGAGGGTGTGTCAAAGCTTGGAGGCAGAAATGAGATAGTTTTGGGAAGATAAGATCTAAAATATCTTTATTTAGTTGGCTATGGCCAATGCAAGTTGATGTATAGAGTTTCGGCTCTGCTTCCCTTTAAGAATGTTGAAGGAAGAGTCATCTGACAAAAGGAGTCATCATCAATAATTCTGTCCACTGAAACCCTCTGTCTGTTCACAGATCAGGCACCACACAAACAACTATGCATCCAGCTCCACCTCCTTACCCCACCAGTGCTCCTCAACCTTGATGTGGAGTGACCAGTTGGAAAGGTGAGATTTAGAAGCTGTCTAGATTTACAACATAGCCTTCCCCCATCTCTGCTCTGATCTGCCTTCGTGGGACAAGGACGGAATATCTCTAAGAACCAAAGTGCAAATTAAGCACACACACCTGATTTAGGAAGACTAGATTCCTTCGAGGAATTGTTTTTACCACTTCACTTAGATTTCCTCCAACTAAGATTCTCAGACTGGCTCCAGGCTGATCTTGTGACTGGTCAAGTCTCATGCAGTAAAAGATCCTGCATGTCACTGATTTTTCTTTTTTTCTTTTTTTTTTTTTTTAAGATTTTATTTATTTATTCATGAGAGACAGAGAGAGAGAGAGAGGCAGAGGGAGAAGCAGGCTCCCAAGGAGCAGGGAGCCCGATGTGGGACTCGATCCCAGGACCCTGGGATCATGACCTGAGCCGAAGGCAGACGCTTAACCATCTGAACCACCCAGGCACCCGTCACTGATTTTTCATACGAAGAACAGAGTCCAGGAGGATTTTAAGGCTAAGCTACCTTGTTTTGATTTGACATCAGAGCTCAGTGTACTTCCCACATGGTCAGCACACTCTTGCTTGCCCTTTGACTAGACCTGCTTTGTAGAAAACGTGTACTTCAATGAAGGGACACTCTAGAAAGCAGAACATGATGCTGAATACAATGCATAGTTGGTCATATTAAATTTCAAACATTAGCTTCCTCCTCAAACACCTTACTTCAATATCTCTGTTATTGACTGTAGGGTTAAATGGTCATCTGGGTATTACTCTACTGTGTGATCTTTTTTGTTTTAATGAAAGAAGGTGAAAAGTTTTAATTATGTTTTTTCAAACATAGCGTACTTGGCTTTTCAAATAAGTTGAACTCTTCATTGTAATGGACAGACAGCATGTTCATTTTACTTCATTCCCTGGGTGAGGCTGGGTTCAATGACTACACTACTCCATGTAAGTTGTTAAGACGGATGTGGACATTTAAGCAGCTCAATGTCTTTGGCCATTTGTTCTCCCATGACTGAAGTAACTAAAAGATAATCACTTCTGTCTCTCAGGGGAAGATCAAAATGTGTTTTTCAATAGAGATGTAGCGTGCAACAATGCCTAAAGGATACCAATAAGCTGGTTGATTCTGGAACATAGCTTAAGTCCTGGGGCCAATAAAATTTTTACTCAACTCACCTTTATGGTCCTACATCCTTCTCTTAAATATCTGCATGTAATCCACCTATTCTGTGCATTTTTTTTTTCTGTAAACACAAATTTCCTTGGAAAACAAATGAAAGGAAAAGAAGGGAGATATCCAGTTCCCATTTCTTTATTGGTGGGCTCATTCTCATTTCATTTTTAATTTTTAAAGTAAATTCTATTGTCCTTTCCCTTCATTATGAAAATAAGCCAGGCTCTCTACAGAAACTTTGCAAAATAAGGAAAATTAGAAAGAAAAGCAGCTTTTTTTTAATTCTTATGTTAATCCCCATACATTACATCATTAGTTTTAGATGAAGTGTTCCATGATTCATTGTTTGTAAGAAAAGCAGCTTCTTAAACTTTACTTCCACTACTCAAGAAAATCTCACCATCATTTTAGTAAATTCCTTTTCATCTTTTTCCCCTGCACTTTCCTTGATTTTGTTTTACATACTTAGGATAATATTATATGTGCATATTGTATCTTGTTTTTACCCAATTTAACATAAAAGAAACATTTCCCAGACTATTTATAAATTCTTTAAAAAGTAATTTTAATACTTACATGTGTCTATTAAAAGAATACATTGTAGTTTACTAATCATAATCTGTGTTCAAATTTGGCACCACAACGAATGGAAATATATCATTACCTAAAGACTGAAATGCAATTTAAAAATATTTGTGATTGTTTTTATCAGAAGTTTACTTTAGGAAATAAATAGCATGTAAATTTTTAATATTTTTTAAAGATGCATATAGTGTGACTGCTTTCCAGAAAACTATAGAGATTTGAAATTTCATCAGGAATGTTGGAGAATTTCTGCTTTGCTTCATCCTAACCAGCACTGTATATTATTTTAAAACACACACACACACACACACACACACACCCCATTGGTTTGATAGGAGAAAAATTGTATTTCATAGTTATTTCAATTTGCTTTCTTCCTTTTATCCTTCTAGGGTATAGTTATACACTGATTTGGGGCTTGTTTTTATGGCAAGATTATTTGACCACTCAATGTGTCTACAATTGATACAGCATCATGATTTGATTATTCTACTGGACTACAAATTTGGAAACCAGAAAAATTACTCATAAAAAAATATACTTAGCATAATTAAATAATTCAGAAGCTTAAGTGATCCAAAATACCAGAGTTATTTAAATTGCTTTTATTTACAAAACATACGTGTAATTACTTCAAACAAGAATGTTTCGATGTCTAAGACATATGTATTTCTCACTTACACCTTCTCCTCACACCATACAAAAAAAGTACCCTTACCCATGCTTATTACATCTTTCTCTCTCTATTCTAACAGATAATGAAAGAACGGAGCTGACTTTTTATTGAAATTCCTGCTTCCCTGAGTTTGTGTGTTTCTTCCCACCTGAGAAGGAGAATTTATGTTTGATTTGGATTGTTTCTTCATTTTCATCTTTTTAAAAAATTTAATGTTTTTTCTTGCCAGTAATACCCACTGAAAGCAGGTTTATGATCATAATTTGTGCCTTTGAGTGTTAAATTGGCTTCTGGGACTAGGTTTTGAGGACATTTTTAAGAAGCTGGGGGTGATTTCACAGATAATGATTGGTGAAAAAGTGAGAAAAAGAAAAACCCAATTTCTAGGAGTTTTCCCGCAACTTCAAACCTTTGCCTGAATCTCAACCAGTGTGGACATCTTTGCATTTTATGGTAGTTTTGATTTTATAATGAGTTTGAAAAAATCAGTATAAGCTTTCAACAGTGAAAAGTCAACATTTTGAGAGAAAGAATTCAATTAATAGGACATAAACTTTAATGGGATAGAAGAGGGTGCCGGATGGAGGCAAGAGGGCATCGTGACAAAAGATACTTATGCCAGATGTGTGATGAATGTATTGGAGATACCGTGTCCCTCTGGGCTAAGCTTGGAACTAAACATCTTTAGGTCTGTATTCTGGTTATGTGTCACTGTGTAACTCAGCAATCAATGTAAGTGTTATTTGTCTTTGAAGACTGAAAGGAGTGGATGCAGCTAAGGGTTTTCCTGAAATGTCACAGGAAACAATACTGAGGTTACATGATTAGCTGTTGTGTTAGAGCAATAAAAATCCAGGCACAGCCCTCTGATTTACCACTATCTGTTCAGGATTTCTTAAACTTTCTTCCCACATGGCATACAAAAAGGTAAAATTAATAAGTGACATAGTTATTCAATATCAAATTACTTTTTGAGAAATAAAGAAATCTATTTTATCTGAATTGAAATGAGAAACTCTATGAGCTTTTAACAAATACTTTTGAGTCATTGGATGTCTTTCAGCTAATGTCCTTACCTGTTTGTAAATTCAACCAATCTTTCTTTCTCTTGCCTCTCTTCCCCAACCCCGCACCTTCCTCCTTCTTTTTCCTCTCCTCATTCACTTAATTCAACACATATTTATTGAGTGTCCTTCTTTAAGCACTGTACTAAGGGCCATGCTGTCACCTACAAGGACATCTTAGGAAGACACGATAATATGGTATCAGTAGTTTTGCCATAGGAGCATATACTGCGGCTCCACCGTCCTCCCTGCCAACTAGATTAAACCAAAACAGTGAGTCATTCCTTTCAATAGTTGAGTCAGTTGCGGGTTAGCTGGAAACCACAATTATTTTCACTCAAACTTGTATTTTAAACGGCTTTATGTAACTCACACACAGATGATGCCAGACACAATCCCTTTATTCAGGTTTAAATTCAGTGAGTTTTATTGAGCAAGTAGAATTTGCCAGCAATCATAAGAATGCCCATGCTTCTGTTACTGCTATCTGCCCATCATCCATCTATGTGGTTGTCTAGTTGCCATATATTTTTTTTATTTGTACAAAAGAGGCCTAAGGCTGCAGAGGGCTTGCCCAACGTCACATGGCTAATATAAGTAAGAATTTAGATCTAGTGTAAGTTCTTTGATTCCAGGTTTATTTTCTTTCTATAGTACAGTGGGGATGTGAGATCTGTTTCAATAATATTCCATTTCTAAGACAATGTGATGTAGTAATAGAAGCATGGGTTTTGGAATGAAACTTGGATTTAAATCTGGCTGTGTCACTCACTAACTCCATGACTTTGAGAAATTTAATTGATTGCATTGAATCTCAATGAATTAATCTATAAATTAAAGATAATAATACTTACCTGTGGGGTTATTGTGATAATGTATGTAAAGTGAGTCTAACACAGTAGATACTCAGTAAGTACTGACTGCAATAAATTCTTTATCCAGACTTATCTCCAACTGTATAATATGAGTTCTCAATTTCAACTACAAACTGGCTTCCTGATTGTGTAGGCTTACATGTCATGGACAGAATCAACTTCAAATCTCTTGATGCTGTTCTTGCTTATAATACCTCATGATTATTTTTCCCCATGTAAAACCTACACTTCTCCCACATGTACAAATTTGACCTTGCCCTTGGGTCTTGAACAGTTAAAGTATCTTTTTTCTCTTCTTAACTCTATGCTACTCTGAAGTTACACAGTGATCATTTTGATGATTATTGTATTATTCTTCAAATATTTTCATTATGTATGTCTTTTTCCCTTAACAAAAATTCTATTTCATGGTGGACAGGACCCTTTTCTTATATTTTCTTCATAGATCTGTTAGCACTAGTACAGTATTTGACACCAAGAAAGATGCTCCTTATTTGGTAAATTCTCAACAAAAGTAACATTTATGTACAATATTAGCAGTTGCAAATTTAAATGAATGTGATAGAAAGCCCTTTATTTCCATGTTGCTATTTAACTTGGGAAATTTTATGTTAAACTTTTCTGATTTAAAAATGTTAATCCAGGGGCACCTGGGTGGCTCAGTCATTAAGCGTCTGCCTTCGGCTCAGGTCATGATCCCAGGGTCCTGGGATCGAGCCCCACATCAAGCCTCGCATCGAGCCCCGCATCGAGCCCTGCATCGAGCCCCACATCAAGACCCACATCGGCTCCCTGCTCCGCAGGAAGCCTGCTCCTCCCTCTCCCACTCCCCCTGCTTGTGTTCCCTCTCTCACTGTCAAATAAATTAATAAAATCTAAAATAAAATGCTAATCCAGGCAGAATAATCACTTGTGGTTTAACATGATAATGTTTATTAAAATTCTATAGGTGAATGTCATAAGGTAATAAAATGATTGGAAAAGTTTGAAAAATAATGACTATTTGGTAAAGATATTTCTCACATAATTAGGAATGATCTTTGTCCAATTAGTTTGAAATCTGATGGAAAGACAGTATATGTATGTATAAAATACTTTTGAAGCTTTAATTTTTAATCCACAGAAATGTATCCATTTCATTAAATTCACCCAAAATAATAAGTTCTGTAACATATGTTCTCAAATATTCAGGATCATGATTCAGCAACACACTGATTTTTAACAAGTGCTTTCCTCCTCATTTTTTAAATTATCTTGCATAAACATTGATTCTCATAATTACGTAATGAGGTTACAATGAGAATAGAACTAGCCCTCAAAATAAAATGAATTTCTGCCAAAGAGTTAGAGAAACGGGGCTTGATCTACAGTTTTATTGTAATTATAGTACCTACTGTAGAGCTCTGTGGAATACATATGCAAAAAAAATCCGTGATATTAATATGCTTTGCAGCTGAGTTGTATAGACTTGGTTCTTGACTACATATAATATATCGTGTAATTTTAGACCTGTGACTTTTGTGTTGGAAGAACGAATTCCTGCCTACTCCCACCTCCCTCCGATTACAGATTTCCTACAGCACCACCACAAGCCAATGTGAAATAAACAAACAAACAAAAATATACACCCAACTATGCTGCCCTCAGGAGAGGGTATTGTGAAGAGGAGTGGCATATAAGGGAATGGCATACAGGGAATATTAGGGTTGGAAAATTAGGCTTCTATGAGAAGCTACATTTATCCAAATTCTCCCAAGGAGGGAGGAGAAAACTAGAGTCATTATGTTTTATATGTAAATGTGTATATGTGTCTTACAGTTATAAGTGGATTTTGGTCCATGAAATATATGAAAATTCAGACAGAGTTGAATTACTCCACATTTTTACTGTCTATAAGAATGACTTTTTAAAATTAAATAATAGAACCCAGATTATAAAGGAGCCATATAAACTATTTAAGAGAAAAAAATTTTTCAACATCTTCAGTAGTTGGAGGCACACTCAAAAGAAACTTATTGCTAAGATAATTATTCAGGTACCTTAAGGATCTGTATAAGATATACTTAGCTTGATATACTTTTAATGATGATGAATACTTCAATGTTTAATTGTTGTCTTAAAAATATTTGTGCTCATATTTTTCATTAATCCAGGCTTTTACTGAATATTTTGTTAATTCAAAATATCTCTAAGCTCATCCCATGGATAAAAGTATTTCTCCATTTCATTCAGGTTCTAAGGCTTTATTTTTTTTATTATCTGAAGTGCCTTTTTATATAAAAATAATTTGTACAAAATGTATTTTTAAGAGCTTTTATACTTTGTTTTAACAAAATTCTCAATCACATTGTAAGCTCCTTGTGGGCAGGACCCATGTTTATGTTTTATGTATCTCTTGTACCTACAGAGCCTAGAACAGTACTAAGCTCACAGAAATTACTCAATAAAAACTTGATGGAGAGGCTAAGTGGCCAGACTGCAATCTATGTGAGTAATGCTTAAGACAACTAGGTATGCGCACTATGGGTAAGGGTGGACAATTGTTTCTCTATTTAGTCTTCCTCTTTGATATTATGCCATTAAAAAAATTAATTCCAGTATAGTTAACATACAGTGTTATATTAGTTTCAGGTGTACAATATAGTGATTCACCAATGCTATACATTACTCAATGCTCATCATGATAAGTGTGCTCTTAATCCCCATCACCTATTTCACCCATCCCTCCTCCTACCTCTCCCTCTGGTAACCATGTTTTTTCTCTATAGTTAAGAGTCTGTGTTATGTCATTTTGTCTAGTCTGTAAATTTGAGTGGCATAAGGGAGTCTTTTTTATACTTCTTGAAGAAAACAACTGTAAATATTTGTTGAGTATGGGATGATTACTTTTAGAAAAAGAATAAATGAGATAAATATAAGTCTGCATATAAAATAACTTGTCTTTTAGTTAGCTATGTCATTTCTTCTTACCTTAGTATAGAGCTGGATTTTAACTCTATACCTAGAGATAAATTAAGGTATTGCTGAAAATGGATAGCTTGTGAAATAAAATGAACATAATTTGCCCATATGAGGACAATAGAAAATTTTCGTCTTATGAATTCTTTGAGGAAAGTATAGTGTACTCTTTTTTGGAAACAAGTAAACCAGAGCCTTAGTAAATGAACAATAGTCTTTACTTGATTTCTTAATGAAAGTTAGTAATTGCTGATTATAGTTTTCATTAGTTTATTGATTTAACTTACAACTTAACTGTTGAATCCTTTTAAATGCTTTGAAAATGGAAAAGAAATATTTGTGCAGCATTACCTTGAGAAAATAATTTTTTAAATGACAGGTGTACATAGAAAACATGAGAACTTAAGCACTGAAATGCTATGGCACAGGAAGGGCAGAAGGAATTACACACCAAGAAGAGCGCCTAGGTGGCTCAGTCGGTTAAGCGGCTGCCTTTGGCTCAAGGCATGATCCCAGGGTCCTGGGACTGAGCCCCACGTTGGAGGGGGGTTATCTCTGCTCAGCAGGGAACCTTCTTCTCCCTCTCCCTGACACGACCCCTGCTTGTGCATGTGCACTCTTTCTGTGTATGTCAAATAAATAAATAAAATCTTTAAAAAAAATATTACACACCAAGAAAACACAATGCCATTAAAAACACAAGATTAAACCAAAAAGAGACTACTCATAGAAATGCAGGAATAAAGCAGAGGGGTGTAAATCTGTTACAAGATTGGACAAAGTATGATCAGTAATATGTGCTCCATAAATTCTTGCTGATTGCTGCCGTGGTGGTAGTGGGTGATGCTGCTGCTGCTGGGGAAGAATAAGAGATAGTCAAGCAAATTAAGTGAATGTCATACTAAGAGAATAAGCAGGGATTGGGGAAAAGATAATAATATATTTTCAATAAGACTTTGGAACAAAGGAAAACAAACAATTGACTTCATCTCTTTTCTGTATATCTAACCATCCTTTAAGTTCTGTTAAATCTACAAGTATTTCTTAATTCTGTCTCTCCAGCTTCACTGCCATGGTCTATATCTACGCCTCCATCATGTCCCATCTGAATTACCCCAGTAACTTGTGTCCTACATCTGGTCTTGGACCCTTCCATTATCTCCAGCTGCTGCCACTGTGATATTTTGTTAATAAGATGAAAATCTGTTCATGTTATTTTCCTTCCTAACATCCTTAACATTTTCCTATGGCCTTCAGAATAAAGTTAAAACAACTTAACTTAGTCCATAGGGCTTTCTACAATCTAGTCTCCCCTGAGCTTCTGGTGTCCTCTTCCATGTCTGCCTTGTTTTCCAGCAATGCCATACTGCCATCCCACGCCTTTGTGCTGCTTCACACAGGCTGTTCCTTCTATGCTGGATACTCCCTTTTCTTCTCTATGTGATTAAGCCTAACTCACCTCTCATGAGTTTCAGCTCAAGTATCAGTTCTTTCAGGAAGTCTTCATGATAAAACCTCTGTCTGTGCTGTAACTCGCTGGCTTATTTGCCCATCTTCTTTGCATGGCCAAGGCAGGGAATATGTATCTCATCTCTGTGTCTGTTGTGTGACATAGACTTGGCATTCAACAAGTCCTTGCTGGTGAAAGAAAGAACACAAAGAATATGTGCAACAATGAGCTATGAGTTTGAGCAAAAGCAATAATTCAGGATAATTCAAACCATCTGTATGTTACTTAAAGCAGGCAGTTAGCCACACTTTCTGAATAACCATTCAATGCTTGGCTTTCCAGTCACAGAACTAGTTATATATTTACACTTGGCTTTGGCAGAGATTCTGTGGAGGTAACAGACAAAGCTGAGAAAGAGCGCCACAATCTTATCTCACTTGGCAAAAGTTTAAATGCAAACTTAGAAACTCAAGGAGAAAAAACAAACTGAAATATTGCTCTCCAACTTCATCCAGCATTTCTTCAAAGGCAGAATAGTGTAGTCTTATAGAGGCAGCTCAGTCTTTAAGGTTGGATAGTCCTGGGTTTGAATCCTGACTGACACTAGGTAATTATGTGACCTTGAAGATTCTATATTTAATCTCCCTTAGCCTCAGTTTCATTATCTGTAAAACAGAGTAACACCCAACTTATAGGGTTGCTGCAAAGATTAGAGATGACATGTGTGAGGCCATTATTCTTAAGACCACTGTAAGTCCCCAGAGGTAAAAGATGGCCCAAAGAAAGCCATTTACAGGATACCTCAATTTTGAGTAAGCAGCTGGAATTTGAATCAGAGAGAGAGAAATCATGTGTGTGCCAAAGCAGCACACAGGCATAATAGGGCCCCAGGCAATTTTGCTATAAGCTCTTTGCAAACCTCCAATCGCCCTTTAAGGAGTTAACTTGAATTACCAACAGCCAGCTGCTGAACCAATGGGATGTCCCCTGCAGGTGCCAGCAAGAATATTCCTGCAAAAAATGAGAAGGTGGTTTTGAAATAAAACTCACACATAAGTACTTGTGACATTAAAGAGGAAACAGCCTGAGGCTAGAGCCTCCATTAATATTCAGAGCAAGATGTGGGTTATGGGATAGTAAGGAACAGAAGAGAAGTAGTAGAGTCGCCAGTAAAGGCTACACGATCTGGGCCTATTTCAGGTTGGTCTCTGGACTGCATCATGGTACCAAGGCCCGTTGGTATTAAGAAAGACTGTCTCCCAGGGCCATCTGTTCATGAAAATAAGGGCTGACGTTCTATGTTTGGTCTACAGGGCAAATAGATTAGGGTTACAGAACCCAGTTGTGCTACTCTTAACTCATCATACAATTACTGCCATATTGCAAAACCCCCCCATTGATACCACATGGGAAAATGATAGATGCTGTAAGTGAACTCAGAGATTTGGTGTAGCATTTCCTAAAGTTAACTAATTATACTGATCATCCAAAGTTTGTTAAAATAGAAAATCCAGGTCTCTCCTCTGGAGGTTATGAGTCAGAAAGTCTGGCATGGGACCTAGTGTTCTTTATTTTTTAAAATAAGCTCCTCCAGATGAGTATCTTCATCAGACAGGCTTGACAACATTGATATAGTCCAACAGTTCTCAAAGTATTATCCCCAGACCAGCAGCAGGAGTATCACTTGGGAATTTATTAGAAATGGAAATTCTTTGGTCGCATTCAGATCTACTGAATTGAAATTGGTTGGAACCCAGAAATGTGTTTTAGAAGCCCTCCAGCTGATTCTCATGCACATGAAAGTTTGAGAACTACATATATCAAATGTGTTAACAAAGACCTGGAAGCTGGGAGTGTAGGGTAGTAGTAGGAATAATGCCTAGTCCAAATTTTTCTAGAACTTGGAAGGTCATGGTTTCAATCCAGGTGCTGACAGTTGATCTTCCCTTGATATTACTACCTTTTTTTTTCTATTTTCTAAGCAGTGGTTTGTTTTTGTGGATCTCATTTGGTTTCCCAAATGATGAAAGCCATGTCCCCTTCTCCTTCCTGATACAAAGGTACCTCATTATTTATTTTCTATTTTTTTAAATTTTTTTATTGTTATGTTAATCCCCACACAATACATCATTAGTTTTAGATGTAGTGTTCCATGATTCATTGTTTGTGCATAACACCCAGTGCTCCATGCAGAACGTGCCCTCCTCAATACCCATCACCAGGCTAACCCATCCTCCCACTCCCCTCCCCTCTAGAACCCTCAGTTTGTTTTTCAGAGTCCATCATCTCTCATGGTTCGTCTACCCCTCTGATTCCCCCCCCTTCATTCTTCCCCTCCTGCTACCTTCTTCTTTTTTTTTTTCTTAACATATATTGCATTATTTGTTTCATAGGTACAGATCTGAGATTCAACAGTCTTGCACAATTCACAGTGCTTACCAGAGCACATACCCTCCCCAGTGTCTATCACCCAGTCACCCCATCCCTCCCACCCCACCCCCCACTCCAGCAACCCTCAGTTTGTTTCCGGAGATTAAGAATTCCTCGTATCAGTGAGGCCATATGATACATGTCTTTCTCTGTTTGACTTATTTCACTCAGCGTAATACCCTCCAGTTCCATCTGCGTTGTTGCAAATGGCAAGATTTCATTCCTTTTGATGGCTGCATAATATTCCATTGTATATATATACCACTCTTCTTTATCCATTCATCTGTCAATGGACATCTTGGCTCTTTCCATAGTTTGGCTATTGTGGACATTGCTGCTATAAACATCGGGGTGCACGTACCCTTTTGGATCCCTACTTTTGTACCTTTGGGGTAAATACCCAGTAGTGCAATTGCTGGGTCATATGGTAGCTCCATTTTCAACTTTTTGAGGAACCTCCATACTGTTTTCCAGAGTGGCTGCACCAGCTTGCATTCCCACCAACAGTGTAGGAGGGTTCCCCTTTCTCCCCATCCCTGCCAACATCTGTCATTTCCTGACTTGTTAATTTTAGCCATTCTGACTGGTGTGAGGTGGTATCTCATTGAGGTTTTGATTTGGATTTCCCCGATGCCGAGCGATACTGAGCACTTTTTCATGTATCTGTTGGCCATTTGGATGTCTTCTTTGGAAAAATGTCTGTTCATGTCTTCAGCCCATTTCTTGATTGGATTCTTTGTTCTTTGGGTGTTGAGTTTGATAAGTTCTTTATAGATTTTGGATACTAGCCCTTTATCTGATATGTCATTTGCAAATATCTTCTCTCATTCTGTCGGTTGTCTTTTGGTTTTGTTAACTCTTTCCTTTGCTTTGCAAAAGCTTTTTATCTTGATGAAGTCCCAATAGTTCATTTTTGCCCTTACTTCCCTTGCCTTTGGCGATGTTTCTAGGAAGAAGTTGCTGCGGCTGAGGTCAAAGAGGTTGCTGCCTGTGTTCTCCTTTAGGATTTTGATGGACTCCTGTCTCACATTGAGGTCTTTCAACCATTTGGAGTCTATTTTTGTGTGTGGTATAAGGAAATGGTCCAGTTTCATTCTTCTGCATGTGGCTGTCCAATTTTCCCAATACCATTTGTTGAAGAGACTGTCTTTTTTCCATTGGACATTCTTTCCTGCTTTGTCCAAGATGAGTTGACCATAGAGTTAAGGGTCCATTTCTGGGCTCTCTATTCTGTTCCATTGATCTATGTGTCTGTTTTTGTGCCAGTACCATACTGTCTTGATGATGACAGCTTTGTAATAGAGCTGGAAGTCCGGAATTGTGATGCCGCCAGCTTTGCTTTTCTTTTTCAACATTCCTCTGGCTATTTGGGGTCTTTTCTGGTTCCATACAAATTTTAGGATTATTTGTTCCATTTCTTTGAAAAAAGTGGATGGTATTTTGATGGGGATTGCATTGAATGTGTAGATTGCTCTAGGTAGCATTGACATCTTCACAATATTTGTTCTTCCAATCCATGAGCGTGGAACGTTTTTCCATTTCTTTGTGTCTTCCTCAATTGCTTTCATGAGTATTTTATAGTTTTCTGAGTATAGATCCTTTGACTCTTTGGTTAGATTTATGCCTAGGTATCTTATGCTTTTGGGTGCAATTGTAAAAGGGATCGACTCCTTTTACAGAAGGAGAAAGGGATTTCTCTTTCTTCTCTCTTGTTGTTGGTGTATAGGAATGCCACTGACTTCTGTACATTGATTTATATCCTGCCACTTTACTGAATTCCTGTATGAGTTCTAGCAGTTTTGGGGTGGAGTTTTTGGGGTTTTCCACATAAAGCATCATATCATCTGCAAAGAGTGAGAGTTTGACTTCTTCTTTGCCGATTTGGATGCCTTTTATTTCTTTTTGTGGTCTGATTGCTGTGGCTAGGACTTCTAATACTATGTTGAATAGCAGTGGTGATAGTGGACATCCCTGCCGTGTTCCTGACCTTAGGGGGAAGCTCTCAGTTTTTGCCCATTTAGAATGATATTCGCTGTCATTTTTCATAGATGGCTTTTATGATATTGAGGTATGTACTCTCTATGTCTATACTCTGAAGAGTTTTGATCAAGAAAGGATGCTGTACTTTGTCAAATGCTTTTTCTGCATCTATTGAGAGGATCATATGATTCTTGTTCTTTCTTTTGTTAATGTATTGTATCACGTTGATTGATTTGCGGATGTTGAACCAACCTTGCAGCCCAGGGATAAATCCCACTTGGTCGTGGTGAATAATCCTTTTAATGTACTGTTGGATCCTATTGGCTAGTATTTCGGTGAGAATTTTTGCATCCATGTTCATCAGGGATATTGGTCTGTAATTCTCCTTTTTGATGGGGTCTTTGTCTGGTTTTGGGATCAAGGTAATGATGGCCTCATAAAATGAGTTTGGAAGTTTTCCTTCCATTTCTACTTATTGGAACAGTTTCAGAAGAATAGGTATTAATTCTTTAAATGTTTGGTAGAATTCCCCTGGGAAGCCATCTGGCCCCGGGCTTTTGTTTTTTGGGAGATTTTTGATGACTGCTTCAATTTCTTTAGTGGTTATAGGTCTGTTCAGGTTTTCTATTTCTTCCTGGTTCAGTTTTGGTAGCTGATACATCTCTAGGAATGCATCCATTTCTTCCAGGTTATCTAATTTGCTGGCATAGAGTTGCTCATAATATGTTCTTATAATTGTTTCTATTTCTTTCGTGTTGGTTGTGATCTCTCCTCTTTCATTCATGATTTTGTTGATTTGGGTCATTTCTCTTCTCTTTTTGATAAGTCTGGCCAGGGGTTTATCAATCTCATTAATTCTTTCAAAGACCCAGCTCCTAGTTTCGTTGATCTGTTCTACTGTTCTTTTAGTTTCTATTTCATTGATTTCTGCTCTGATCTTTAGTATTTCTCTTCTCCTGCTGGGTTTAGGCTTTATTTGCTGTTCTTTCTCCAGCTCCTTTAGGTGTAGGGTTAGGTTGTGTACTTGAGACCTTTATTGTTTCTTGAGAAAGGCTTGTATTGCTATATACTTTCCTCTTAGGACTGCCTTTGCTGCATCCCAAAGATATTGAATAGTTGTGTTTTCATTTTCATTGGTTTCCATGACTTTTTTAAATTCTTCTTTAATTTCCTGGTTGACCCATTCATTCTTCAGTAGGATGCTCTTTAGCCTCCATGTATTTGAGTTCTTTCCGACTCTCCTCTTGTGATTGAGCTCTAGTTTCAAAACATTGTGGTCTGAAAATAGGCAGGGAATGATCCCAATCTTTTGGTACCGGTTGAGACCTGATTTATGACCTAGGATGTGATCGATTCTGGAGAATGTTCCATGGGGACTAGAGAAGAATGTGTATTCCGTTGCTTTGGGATGGAATGTTCTGAATATGTCTGTGAAGTCCATTTGGTCCAGTGTGTCATTTAAAGTCTTTATTTCCTTGTTGATCTTTTGCTTAGACGATCTGTCCATTTCAGTGAGGGGGGTGTTAAAGTCCCCCACTATTATTGTATTGTTGTCGATGTGTTTCTTTGCTTTTGTTATTAATTGCCTTATATAATTGGCTGCTCCCATGTTAGGGGCATAGATATTTACAATTGTTAGATCTTCTTGTTGGATAGACCCTTTAAGTAGGATATAGTGTCCTTCCTCATCTCTTATTACAGTCTTTGGTTTAAAATCTAATTTGTCTGATATAAGGATTGCCACCCCAGCTTTCTTTTGGTGTCCATTAGCATGGTAAATGGTTTTCCACCCCCTTACTTTCAATCTGGGGGTGTCTTTGGGTCTAAAATGAGTCTCTTGCAGACAGCATATCGATGGGTCTTGTTTGTTAATCCAGTATGATAGCCTGTGTCTTTTGATTGGGGCATTTAGCCCATTTACATTCAGGGTAACTATTGAAAGATAGGAATTTAGTGCCATTGTATTGCCTGTAAGGTGACTGTTACTGTATATTGTCTGTGTTCCTTTCTGGTCTATGTTGCTTTTAGGCTCTCTCTTTGCTTAGAGGACCCCTTTCAAGATTTCTTGTAGGGCTGGTTTTGTGTTTGCAAATTCCTTTAGTTTTTGTTTGTCCTGGAAGCTTTTTATCTCTCCTTCTATTTTCAATGACAGCCTAGCTGGATATAGTATTCTTGGCTGCATATTTTTCTCATTTAGTGCTCTGAATATATCTTGCCAGTTCTTTCTGGCCTGCCAGTTCTCTGTGGATAGGTCTGTTGCCAATCTAATGTTTCTACCATTGTAGGTTACATATCTCTTCTCCCGAGCTGCTTTCAGGATTTTCTCTTTGTCTCCAAGACTCGTAAGTTTTACTATTAGATGTCAGTGTGTTGACCTATTTTTATTAGTTTTGAGGGGGGTTCTCTGTGCCTCCTGGATTTTGATGCCTGTTTCCTTCCCCAAATTAGGGAAGTCTCTGCTACAATTTGCTCCATTATACCTTCTGCCCCTCTCTCCCTTTCTTCTTCTTCTGGGATCCCAATTATTCTAATGTTGTTTCATCTTATGGTATCGCTTATCTCTCGAATTCTGCCCTCGTGATCCAGTAGTTGTTTATCTCTCTTTTTCTCAGCTTCTTTATTTTCCATTATTTGGTCTTCTATATCACTGATTCTCTCTTCTGCCTCATTTATCCTAGCAGTTAGCGCCTCCATATTTGATTGTACCTCATTAATAGCCTTTTTGATTTCTACTCGGTTAGATTTTAGTTCTTTTACTTCTCCAGAAAGGGTTTCTCTAATAACTTCCATGCTTTTTTCAAACTCAGCTAGTATCTTTAAAGTGATGATTCTGAACTCTAGATCTGACATCGTACTAATGTCCATATTTAGTAGGTCCCTGGCAGTGGGTACTACCTCTTGTTATTTTTGTTGAGGTGATTTTTTCCGTCTTGTCATTTTGTGCAGAGGAGAATAGATTAATGAGAGAATAAAATGCTAACAGGGTAACAACGTTCCCAGAAAATATACTCTAAACAAATCAGAAAAGACCTGAAACAGTGGGAAAAGAAAGGGAAAGAGAGAAAAAAGAAAAAGAAAAAGATAAAGATAAAAATAAACAAAAACAGAACAAAACCAAAAAAAAAAAAACCAGAATGTGATCAAATATGATCAGGCTGGTATATAGATCAGTGCCACACACTAGATTTGGGTTGTATTTTGGTCTGTTAGAAGAAAGTGCCTCCCAAAATTTTAAAGAAAGAAAAACTTATATATGTACAAAAATAAGGGTTGATATGATGAAGGGATGGAATATGACTATAAAGATGGAAATTATAAAAAATTTTGTAAAAGGAATTGATAAGAAGTTGTTTGAAAACGAAAGAAGAGGATTTAAAAAAAAAAAGAAGGGGCGCCTGGGTGGCTCAGTTTGTTAAGCAACTGCCTTCGGCTCAGGTCATGATCCTGGAATCCCGGGATCGAGTCCTGCATCGGGCTCCCTGCTCAGCGAGGAGCCTGCTTCTCCCTCTGACCCTCCCCCCTCTCATGTACTCTCTCTCATTCTCACTCTCTCAAATAAATAAATAAATCTTTAAAAAAAAAAGGCAGAGAATGTGATCAGGCAGGGGAGTAGAAAAAAGACCATACACTAGAGATTTAGGGTATATTTTGATCTGTTAGAGGAAACTATCTCAAAATTTTAAAGAGAGAACAACTTAAATATATATGCCAAAAATACGGGTAACTACTATGAAGGGATAGAATATGACTGTAAAAATGAAAAATAAAAATGTTTTTTTAGGGCGCCTGGGTGGCTCATTTGGTTAAGTGACTGCCTTCGGCTCAGGTCATGATCCTGGAGTCCCGGGATCGAGTCCCGCATCGGGCTCACTGCTCGGCAGGGAGTCTGCTTCTCCCTCTGACTCTCCCCCCTCTCATGTGCTCTCTCTCATTCTCTCTCTCGCAAATAAATAAATAAAATCTTTAAAGAAAATATTTTTTTAAAAAAGGGATTGATAAGATGTTGGTTGAAAAAGGGAAAAAGAAAAATTCAAAAAAAAAAAAAGGACAGTTAAAAAAAATTAACTTTGAAAGACTAAAGAATCAGGGTAAAAAAGCCATGAATTCTATGTGCATTATTCCCCTAGCGCTGGAGTTTTGCCGTTCTTATTTATCGGTAAACTTGGTCTTGGCTGGCTGTTCTCGCTGATCTTCTGGGGGAGGGGCCTGTTGCCGTGGTTTCCAAATGTCTTTGCCGGAGGTGGAATTGCACCGCCTTTGCCCGACCGGGCTAAGTAATCTGCTCAGGTTTGCTCTCCAGAGCTTTTGTTCCCTGAAAGTTTTCCGTACAGCTTTGGAGGCAGAGAGTGAAAATGGCGGCCTCCCAATCTCCGCCCCGGAGGAGCCGAGAACTCGGGGCCCCGCTCCTCAGTGAGCCCCCAGAGAAAAGCTGTCAGTCACCCCCGTCTCCCCGGTCTCCGGCCACACTCCATGCTCACCCGGCCTGTGACCGAGCATTTCTATCTCTGGCACCAGACCCCGTGTGGAGTCTCCAAACCCAGCAGATCCCTGCAGTGCGCTCCTGCGCCGCTCCTCCCAGGGGAGGAAGGGGAGTCTCCCCGGATCTGCCGCTTGTTGGGTCCCTGCTAGAGGAGCAGTGGCCTGACTGTGCCACGGATCACGGTTTATGGCCACCCCGAGCTGAGAGCCCGCGCCTGGGCTCCGCCTCTGCAGCCGGTTTCCCTGCTCCGATACCTGGGAGCTCTGCCGCCCTCAGGCACCCCCGGTCTTTCTGTGACCCCGAGGGTCCTGAGACCACACTGTCCCGCAAGGGTTCCACCCCCCACTTAGCCACCGGAGTGACGTCCCTCAGTGGAGAAGACTTCTAAAAGTTCCGATTTTGTGCTCCGTGGCTCTATCACTTGCCAGAAGTGGCCGACAGAGGCCCCTCCCCTACCGTCTATCCTCCCGAACATCGCCTGGGATTCACCTCTCCGCACGTCCTACCTTCCAGAAAGTGGTCGCTTTTCTGTTCAGAGAGTTATAGCTCTTCTTTTCTTCGATCTCCTGTTGAGTTCGCAGGTGTTCAGAATGGTTTGATCCCTATCCAGCTGAATTCCCGAGAGGAGACAAAATCCAGGTCTCCTACTCCTCCGCCATCTTGCTCCACCCCCCTCTCATTATTTATTTTCTTACTTGAAATCCTTCTGTTGCTTAGCTCCCATCTAAGGACATTGGTTGAAAGCCCAATTGACTCTATTTATGATTGATGTTCATAGTTCTATCAAAATGTTTTTCACTATTAGTATGTACTGACTGAGCTGCTACAATATTTTTTAAAGGAAAGTATAAGAAGAAGACAAACTGTCTTGCTCTCCTTCTAAGTCTCACTATTTTTCATCCTTTGGAAGGCCAATGCACTGCTTAAAGATATTGTCCATTTTAAAAATAGCCATCATTTTGAAGGCTAACTCCTGGGATCACAGCTAACATGCAAATATTCCCATTTAATATACAGGAGCAGGGCTAAAAAAAGGAATCATTAATGAGCCAATGAGACTATTTGCTGGCATAGTAGTGAAGAAGGTGTATTAGTTTGCTAGGCTTCTATATCAAAGAACCACTGACTGGGGGGCTTAAACAACAGACATTTATTTCTTGTATTTTTGGAGACTGTAAGTTAGACATCAAGGAATTGGTAGGGTTGCTTCCTTCCATGAGCTGTCACAGGAGAATCTGTTCCATGCTACTCTCCTAGTTTCTGGTGGTTTGCTAACAATCTTTGGCATTCCCTGGCTTGTAGACATATCACCCTACATAGTGTTCCCCTTATGTGTGTGTCTTACATCCTATTTTCTTCTTTTTATAAGAACACAAGTCATAGTGGACCAGTCTATTGCAGTATGACCTCATGTTAACTAATTGTTAACTAATTGGGCCTATTTTCAAATAAGGTCACATTTTGAGATACTGGGGGTTAGGACTTCAACATATGAATTTGATTAGGGGTGAAGGAGACAATTCAACCCTTAACAGATGTGTTGGTTGATTTAGGGAGGAAGCCACATGTACACTCCAAAATAATAAGACCTAAAATGGTGCTGCTTCTGGATTTAATGGGTTTAGGGATTGAATAAAAATCTCAATGTGCATGCTAGCCCTGGCTCCAATTAGGAAAGATAAATCAAAAGTGATCATATGTCTGACACTGAAATATCTGCAAGTTTTTCCAGTAAATAAACAATACAAAGCTCATAAACAAGTGTTAGGAAAGATATTTGTGTTGTTTGTATCAGATTATAAATGATCAAATTAGACTAAAGTCAAATTGCTCTATTTATGTTGGAAAGAGTGGGAAGTTGTAGGACTAACTGTAAAGTTATCAACTCAAGTTGATTTCATTGCTTTGAACAGTCAGATTTTTTCCCTGGTAGTTTCCAAATAAAAGCAATATACTCACCTAGAGGTTGAAGTTTTAAGAGAAGCTAGATGCTACCCACTTGAAAGAGGGTAATTAAGGGCCACCTGGGTGGCTCAGTTGGTTGAGCGTACAACTCTTGATTTTGGCTCAGGTCGTGATCTCAAGGTCATGAAATTCGCCCAGTATCAGGTTCCACACTCAGAGTGGAGTCCGCTTGAGAGTCTCTCTCTGCCTCTGCCCTTCCCCCCTGCTTGCACGTGAAATCTCTCTCAAAATAAATAAATAAATAAAATCTCTGAAGAAAAAATTAAAAAAGAGGATAATTAAGGATGTACAAAGTCATTTGAAAGAGGCATTTAAATAGGTATATGATGCTATTAGTGAATACTGAGGGTAATAGTAGTCTAGCTATTGCCTTCTTGAGCTAGATTAGCTTATTTGGAGATTTTTAATTACAATTTTGTGCTTGTACGTAGATTTGCCTTCAAAAGAGCATAACAGGCAATTATACCTCTCCTTTATCAGCTAATTAAAGTCTCATCTTGGGTTAAGGGTCAACTGCTTCTCCTACTCTTTTAATGTCAAGGTCCAACTGTTGACACCAGTTCATGATGGAACTTTGGAGGCCTCTAAAGGCTATCCATGATCACATTGACACTGTTTGGCCTTTGTTTCTGATGCACATATTGTTAATCCAATCCTGACTTAAAGGTTGTGCCAATAAATTCCATTGGCTGTTCTTTTTTATTTCATCCCTATATTTACAAACCACCCCCCGTACTTTTAAAAAAGCTAAATAATGGTTCACAAGGCATGTACTTACGTTCCAAGGAAGTGATGCAATTGTTTTTGGCAAAATAATGAAACTTTCAGCATAGTTCTGAAGTTCTCTTTGTATCAACACTTCTTGCTGTGTTTTCAGTTAGAGTGGGAGATCTTGCCAACAACCGGCTGTTACTAATCTGGTTCACAGCTGAATAAATCATTTTCTTGAAACAGTTCCCCATCAAAACCTAATTATAAATGCCTATAATTACCCAGGGTATCTGTCTATACACTAATGGTGGTAGGAAATAGAGAAACTGCATTGATATGATCCATTTGACAACACCCACCACGTACTTAATAATCTCACACTTCACATTTCAGACTCTGAAACAATAAAAGAAACTAGCCTTTCTTTAGGGTGGAGATGGCGATCCAAACCTGTAGATGTTCTCCTCTTAGGCAAGGATGGAAACAGAAACTGGAGGTGGCATAAACAGGAAAAGTTTAGTTAAGACCAATCTTAGACTGGGCATTGGGAAATTCCTCTGTCTCTTAGGTTTACATTAGATAGCTGATTATTTGTCTGAAAAATAAATGTATAATTGTGTGTAGAAAGGAGATCAGTGGCCCTAAAGTATATTTCTGTAACAATTCCAGTGATGAATGCATGATAAAAGCAAACAGAACTACAAGTCTTTCAAGCAGGAGGTTCTGCTTCGTGAACCAATGACCAATTTTTCATGATATTATTTTAAAGATTTTATTTATTTGAGAGAGAAAGAGACAGAACGTGAGCACGAGTGGGGGGGAGGGGCAGAGGGAGAGGGAGAAGCAGGCTCCCCGCTGAGCAGTGAGCCCTACATGGGGCTCCATCCCAGGACCCCGAGATCATGACCTGAGCCAAATGCAGATGCCTGAGTGAGCCACCCAGGCGCCCCAATTTCTCATGATATTATCAGAAGTGTTACAAGAAGTTTTTATATCTCTATGTCACTTCTGGGGAAAGAGGACAAGGTCAGGATAACTACAAGTGCTTCCAATCTCTGCTGATAGAACAATATCAGATCGTTCAGAGAAGGAAAATGTCTCCACCACATTTTAGAACTGTTCTTAATAAAGATTTTTCTTCCTCTTCCTTCCTCCCTTCTTCCCTCTGCCTGTCTCTTCCTTCCTTCCTTCCTTCCTTCCTTCCTTCCTTCCTTCCTTCCTTCCTTCCTTCCCTCCCTCCTTCCTCTTTACTTCTTTCTTTCTTTCTTTCTTTCTTTCTTTCTTTCTTTCTTTCTTTCTTTCTTTCTTTCTTTCTTTCTTTTTTTCTTCAAATATTTATTAAATTATTGAAATCCACTTGATTGTGTGTTACTTGGGAATTGGAGTTAGAGAATGATGTGAATCTATATAATGCAAAAGGAAAGAAGTAACATTTTTAAAATTTATAATATATAAGTGTTTTATTCACTATCCCATATAACACTCACCACCATCCCACAAGATTATTACTGTAAACTTCTTATTTTAGAGGTGAGAAACTTGAGGCCCATCTCTAGAGTAGGGCTTGATTAACTCACTTTCCCAAGGTCTATAACTTAGATGCTTGAATTCCTATTCAAACCCAGGTTTCCTTGGCTACAGATCTTGTGTTTTCACTGTAACCTTCAAGATGTTTCCAGTGTTTAAGATGGTCTGCAAATAGACAAAATGTTAGAAATTATGTTAGCTACAAGAAAGCAATCATAGTTCCTTAGAGAAATGATGGGATTTAAAAATGTAGCACTCTTCCCCATTTCCTTCTCTCTTCATGTAGGAGAAGGTGAAAATGCTCTGAAGCTGTGGGTCTTTTTTTTACCAAAACACATGGCTGTGCAGGATACCTCACCTCAATTTCATTTTCAATGATATATTTGTAGTTTTTTTTAAACCTTGTTCTTTTTTCCTTCTCTTTTTATATTTTATAATTTTATTTATAATTTTATAATTTTATTTTATAATTTTATTTATAAATTTATTTATAAATTTATTTATAATATTTTATAATTCTTTTTATATTTTATATTTTATAAATGTAGAAAACATAATTTCATCTTCATTCTGTGATAGCATATGCTGTTAAAGTCAAGAGACAGTATTGAATTTCCTTCCCTAGAGGTAGAAGGTCCTGCGCTGGTGAAGGGAAAGAGGGTGGTAGCCTGGAAATCAGAAGTGCTGGTTTGGGATACATGCTCTTCCACCTCCCATCTATGTGAACTTGGTAAATGACTTAAAAGCTTAAAGCTACAGTTCATCATCTGCACCAAAGATCTTAACGCCCTTTTGCAGGATCGCTGTAAGGCTTGATATGAAGACAGTACAGAAAGTGCCTATACATTTTTAAGAGTCATGCAGACACCCCACTCTAGCATGGCCAGTCCTGAGCCCAGGGAACACCCCGCTGAACTATCATGGTACCGACCCCGCCCCCCCACAACCCCACACACTCCGGAGAGCTTCATCAAAGTCCTCTCTAAAGACTAGCCAGGAGACCTGTCTGGCTTAGCAGACCTAACAAGCTAGAGGCATCCTCTCTGCCATCCTGGGTTCAGGTGAAAGGTATCCCCTTGCCCTTCTCCACCCAAAGGCTCAAAATACCACGTTGGAGCTTTAGTCTTCTAACGTAAGTTAATTCTTACAAAAACACAGCTATTTTAATGAATGATTTAATGAGAGCAGTTTGTGACAGGGGAGTGGGAGGAGGGCAGAGAGCATCAGGCACACAGAAAGAGACAGAGAGGTGTGCTCGTGACTAGGGGGGAGTCTGCAGGGAGACAAGGAGAAGTGAGGGGTTAAATGGCAGGTTTTATCCCCCCATTTCTGCAGATTCTTCAGATTCAGTCCTTCCTGCATGGATATATTCTTCTAGATTTTTAGTCTATTTGTTATTACCCTTCTCAAAAATGCCTATTGTCATTGAACATCATCTATGGTTTGGCGTCCTGCTTGGCACTTGGCAAACTGTCGAGCACACTTACGCTATCGTCTCTTTTTTACAGCTGAGAAAAAGAGGGATCAGAGAGCAGGCAAAGTGCAGAGAATGATGAAAAACAGGTCCATTCGAATGCAGACCTCCTGACCTTCTGTCAACTATACTGTCTGTCATACTTCCCTAATTTGGAAATTTGTATTTCCCTTCACCTAAAGAATGTGAAGGAAACTTTACAAGGCAAGAAAACAACGTTATACAGTAGTGGCAGCCTCAACAACAATAAAACCCCAAATCTTAGTTTCTTAAAACAACAAAAGTTCTTTTGCCTTCACTTAGCTTGCCTGTTGAGAGTTGGGTGTGGAGACTTGGTTGCAGGTCATCCTCATCAGAGACTCAGGCTAACTGAGGTTTCCAACATCGCTGGACCCCGCAGTGGTGGAAGGGAGAGTGGCAGAGCATAGAGCAGCACCCACATACTTCTAGAGCAAAAAGCAGGCTGTGCCAGTCAAAGAGAGTGAGGAAGATAATCCTACTACGTGCCTAGAAAAAGAAGTGGGAGTACTAGTGAACAGCACTAATATGTACCCCAGCATCTCAACAGAAAAGATAGAATAAAAATGAAGAAATTAACTGCAGAAGTACTGAGTTTAGAAAGCAAGGTCCCTTTCAGCTCTTTGTTTGATTCCAAGCCCTGCTTATTTTAAGCCTTTTTCATGTGTTGACTTACTTGCGCGGTGGGAGATTTTCAGCAACTGGCACCATTTTAAATATGAGGAGATACAGGCATATTTTTAGCAAAGCTGAAAAAAACAGGTTGGTCATGGAAATTACCCAGTTTAGATTTAACAGCGTATGGTTCACAATTGCTAGACGTTGTTGCTTTAGTAAGTGGAAAATTTTTCATATGCATGGTGTTAACACAGCACATCTCTGGAAGAAATGCAAGAGTGTTTTAGTATTTTGTGTAGAACAGATGTATCTGGAGTGCTTGTAGAATTTGGTGCCCTTTTCAGATGAAATGAAGCTATGGATCTGTGAACTGATCTGTACACTCTCCAGGTTATTAGTTATGTCCAGCATATTCTTTTTTAAAATTTTTATTTATTTATCTGTTTTAGAAAAAGAGAGAGCATGGGTTGGGGCAGGGGAGACAGAGAGGGAGGGAAAGGGAGAATCTTGAGCAGACTCCAGCCCAGCATGGGGCTTGATCTCACGATCCTGAGATCATGACCCGAGCAGAAACCAAGAGTCCCATGCTTGACCAACTGAGCCACCCAGGCTCCCCGATTAAAGCACATTCTAATTCGGGTGCCTGGGTGGCTCAGTTGGTTAAGCGGCTGCCTTCGACTCAGGTCATGATCCCGGAGTCCCGGGATCGAGTCCCGCATCGGGCTCCCTGCTCAGCGGGGAGCCTGCTTCTCCCTCTGACCCTCCCCCACTCATGTACTCTCTCTCTCTCTCTCTCATTCTCGCTCTCTCAAAATAAATAAATGAATCTTTAAAAAAAAAAGCACATTCTAATTCAAAATCATTAGACTGGTAAAAGCTTCTACTTTTAAGATTCTGTAAAACCTACATTGACCTTGAATTAATAAAGCTAGGAAGTGTGATGCATGTAAAGGTCTTTTAGGAAGGCAGGGTTCATATCCCCATCCTGAAGTTATTTCCTGTAAGATCCTTAGTTACTTTCCTAATTTTTCAGGCTATTTCTCATCTGTTAATGTGGGGCATATTAATAAGTACATGTGGCTAGTACTACCACAAAATATATCTCTACCTCCCAAATATATCTCTATACTGTTCACTACTCTTCATCTCGAATACTCCTAATTCATGCAAAACTCGTCTCTCAGCTAGACCATCACTGATAGCCTCTTAATGATTTTTCCTCTTCTTTTTCCAGCCCATTCATTACTCGGTAGACATAGGGATATTACTCACCCGAGGACTTTTGCACATGCTATCCCACTTTTTTCCCCTATTTCCTGCATTTTTGCTCCGTTTCTTCTTTTGCTTAATGGCTTAAATACTTTCTCAAAGCAGTCTTTCTTAAGCTTCCTATCTCTGGTTGTTTCCTCTTATTATTTGCTACCTTAGCTCATTTGTTTCCTTCGTAGTGCCTACCCTAATTTATAATTGTTTTCCCTTTTTTGTTTACTTCTTTCTTTCCTGTACTTGAACAAGAGCAGAGACTGGCTTGATCTTGTCCATCCTTGTCTTTACCAAGCACAGAGCCTAGTACATTGCAGGTGCCAAAGAAATGAGTGAAGGTGTGATGGAACGAAGGGGTTGTTGTGAAGAGGAAGTGAGATAATTCAGTGCATCTTTAAGCACCTAGGTGGCGCTCAGTAAATATCAGTATTCTGTCCCTTTTCTTTACCAGGGCTTTCCAATCAATCTACACCTCTTCTTTACATTTCCTTGCTTGAGGTACACTGATGTGATTCTCTATCACATAGAAACGTCCTAGGAATCTAAACTAAAAGGTAAAAACAGTGAAACAGAGGGAACAGAAGAGGTTACTCTTGGCTTTGATACATTTGTCTTTTCTACATCTGTGCTTTTGCGGATTATGTACTGACATCTTCACATGACCTTTCCTGTGCCAAATTTGGAGTTTTGAATCAGCTAACAAAACAAATTTCTTATTATCTCTTCCTATAGGTTATGCAGTATCTTTGAATTTGTCTTGAGCAGTGGTGTTGCAAAATTATTTGACTATTTTATTGCGATTTCCTCTTATTATTTAAAAAAATGAGTGGAAAATGAAAATATAAATATGCATAAACTGGGAAAGAAAAGGTCAGGGTGAGAATACAATTAAGGCAAAGGTGAAAACAATTAAGCATATAATGGATGGTTAACATTTAGTTGTTTTGGGCATGTTAAAATTAAATTGATTAATAGTGTCTTTATAAAAGAAAAGAATAAATTTAAAGAACAGCATGAAATGCTAGAATTTATTATCAAGTATTATGCCTAAAAGTTAGGCATAATTATGAAATTTATATCAGTTTCTCTCTGTGGAACAGAATTCCACTCTAATATCCATCTCTTGCATGTTTGACTTTCTTATGTATTTTTAGTCTGATTTTGTCTGAAAGTAGCAGATTGCTCGTGGAGCATGCTCCTCCGCACCCCCCCGCCCCAGAAGATGGACAAACCCACTCCCTGAGTTTACTTATGAGGAACTTAGGACTCAGTGAGGTGAAGAAACTAGTCCACAAGTTGCCTCTGTTCTTCCTCATCAGTTGCCTGAATAAATTTAGAGGCGAGGTCTGCAGGCAAAGAGACCAGTATTTATTTATAAGTAATCCTTCACAGTTTTGAACTAATACTCATTTATAAATGGTGTCTGTTTTTGGATGGAAAATATTTACCAGTGGACAGCCAACAGTTCTAGATGCACAAGAAGAAAGACCCTTAAGGAGTCTTTCGTTTTGATTTCTTCTTGGTTAATAATCCCTCCATTGGCTACAGGGTATTTATTTCAGTTTTTTTTTTTTTTCTTTTTTAGAAGAAGAATAAAGATCAACTAGTGGAGACCACACCTTGTGTTTCTAAAACAATGTTACTTTAATGAATCAGGTCCAGAAGAATTTTTCTGACTCTCCTACAATCCTGACCTGCTCCTTAACTCTTGCCAAATTGTTCTGGAATATGCCTCTGCACTTTGACACATTTACTCTTTAGATTTGGTGTGTCCTAAGGTCACTGAAGTTGG